CTCCGGCGGCAGCAGGCAGGATTCCGTGCCGGAAGATCTTGTGTGGACCATATTGTCACGCTCCGCATCGTCCTGGAGCAGGTCAACGAATTCCTCTATTTGACAGGTCTTCATCAACCGATGAATGCGGTATATAAATCGTACCTGGTGGCCTTACAATTGGATCACGAATGCTGAGCTCCATCGTCGATGTAATCTGAAACTGATATCAACAATAATTCGAGAATGTAAGTGGAGGTGGGTCGGTCACCCACTACGAAGGGACGGAAACGGCTTGGAACCCGGCAGGAAATCGCAGCAGAGGCATACCCACGGATTCATGGCAGGGGCTCTCCGAACAAGGAAATAAAGGATGTTACAGTTACGTTAGTAAGTAGCATGAGCAAACAACATAATAAGTAATTATCAGTTACCGTGTAGCCAAGATAAACAAATAGAACGCAGCCAGTAACACATTTGCAAGAAAATGCAAGAAAGGGAGATTCGCTGCCTGTTGCTGCCGTCCTGTTGACAGTTCCGAACGATTTCCGCTTGGCGAAGACTGACATAGCGAAGACTGACGGGTAAGACATCATTTCGGTTTTGTTCGTCGCAGTGAAACGTCACAGTGATTCTCCGGCACTCCATCCACGTAAAAAGTGAAGGCACGTGTGCGAATTTGGGAGCGAGATTGCCGGATCACCCGCCGCTGAAAGACCACTCCGATCAGTGAAGTAAACGGCGCGAGTGCAAGTCAAAGCATTTTGGGAAACCATCGTCCTTGTCAGATAAACGCAGGACCAACTACAGCACCATCGGATACGTCACGTCCATCGCTGACGGCAACGCAGGAAGAGAATTTTTCTAACCAGCAGGAACACGTAATTTCCTCGCATTCGATCGCCGTGCATCCAGTTTATTGATACTGAAACTTTTGCGGTTTTCACAGCCGGCACGTTACGCCCACAGCAACCGCCAGAGCAAGTGTTGATCAGCCGGATCCACTGAACTCCACCTAGAGGTAAATTAACCCATAAATCACTCTCTCACTAAGCCCGTTGACCATTCGATGACCTTCAACAGACACGTGGCAACATCCGCCCACCAGTACGATCGGAAGATTGACCCGAGGAGGCAAAGCACATAGGTGTATCGAATCGACAGAGAAACTCGGCCACAAGCAAGGGGTTGGTCACTCCGCACAGTGTGCCAAAACAAGCTCAGGCAAACCTGGGCACAGTCATTGGCACTGTTTGGCACCCATGGTTACAATTTTCTGCGCCTGCATGTTGATGTTGTCACATTATAATCAATTTTTTTCAAAACACAACCGTGAATCTCCACCAAATCTCGTCTTTGCTGTTGCTTTCCTTCTAAGGACATGGATTCCTTCTTACATTGGTTCATCGTGTTTGAGACAGCTGCTCATCATCGAAATGGGCGTCCCACAACCGAACGCTGCTGCCATGTTGGAGGCGGTCGCGGCCGCTGCCGGAATTGGGTTGCCAGCTGCCGATGGCATGCCCATGCCCATGTTTTCGATGTTCTCGTTGCTCCACGCACCGTTCATCGTCTTGGACGAGCAGAGCTTCATAATGAACGGGAATTTTGTGCCTTTGTGATCGATCGCGCTGTGGTTGCACTTCATGATGGCGTTCACCGCCAGGGCTGCGCTCGGGAACTCGACCAATCCGAAGTAGGAACGTTCAGATTTCAGCGGGGACATTCGTCCTTGCAACGGGTGGCAGTCCTTGGTGGTGAATGCAGTCAACAGCAGATTCTCGGACATAGCGGGTCTGGTATAGAAGAAGTGGAGAGTCTTGCTCGGAAAATGAAACATTTTTTCTTGGAGGCGCTGTAGTCCTTGAAGCTGATCGAATTGTCCGGCAGGGTGTGGTTGATGGACTCTGACAAGTAATTCTGAATGTTTGGATTGTTGTTCAAGTGCTGTATGCTGCGTCCGACTGCGATGGTGTCTGCCATCTGGACCATGGCAGTACCCTCTTTGGTCTTCAGGAACTTTTTCTGACAACATTTTCCGTACAGGCAGAACAGATTGAACAGCTTATCGGTGATGGCTGTCCGTAGACCATCATCACTTCACCCTGTTGCTGTGTCGGCTGACTGATGTTGGCTGGTGTCTTTCGGGTCAGCGGGTCGTCCTTCATCAGTCCGACGTGTGTTCCGGCTAGTGCTGGTTTCCAGTTTTCCCACGGATGAAACTCGGACGGTGAAAAATTCGGTGCGAATTCCGTTTCCTCCGCCGGCTCCCAGAAGGGCTGGTTTAGGACCATGATTGACTAATGATTGACGATCGTTGTACGGGTTGGGCCTTCTGCCGAAGATGGTAGCATCAACAATCAATACGAAACTAACGATTTTAAATTGGCTCACCACTTTAGTAGCCTATTGGTCCCAAGCAAACGATTAACGTACCCTATTCTAGTCGAAATTCTATTACTACACTATGTTTGTTTTGATTCGCTATGAAAGTTTGACAGATAACATCAGGGGTGTGTGGATTCATGCAGAACATGCAGGGGTGAGTGAAATAGCTTGGGACTGCTTGGGACCGTTGTTCTGGTACTGAGTGAGCCAAAAATAATAATGATTTTCTTCGGGACCCAGTGGTCTTAGAGTTACCTCTATGGTAGCATCGTGTAGCAACGGGGCTCGTCCGTTGCAGGCATCCTTGGAGATGGCTGCTTCCAATGTGTAGTTCCAACTGGAGTCCGTGTCGTTTCTGTAAACATTGAGTTTTTCTGGCTTGGCATAGTTGATCCATAGAGGTAACTCTAAGACCACTGGGTCCCGAAGAAAATCATTATTATTTTTGGCTCACTCAGTACCAGAACAACGGTCCCAAGCAGTCCCAAGCTATTTCACTCACCCCTGCATGTTCTGCATGAATCCATACACCCCTGATGTTATCTGTCAAACTTTCATAGCGAATCAAAACAAACATAGTGTAGTAATAGAATTTCAACTAGAATAGGGTACGTTAATCGTTTGCTTGGGACCAATAGGCTACTAAAGTGGTGAGCCAATTTAAAATCGTTAGTTTCGTATTGATTGTTGGTTGATCTTCGCGGGCTCTGGTGGCGGATTCAATGCTGTCAAACTCAACCATAGCTGAGTGTTGGGTCAGCAGATGGTGTGTAGAGCGTCTACTAAGGATATACTGGATACCGTCTGTAATAGGATATACTGGATTGATGATGGAGAACATGATATGGTTGGGCCGGGTTGCTAACATCATCTTCTGTCGAACTGTGCTGCGAGATTAGCGAGAAATTCGTTTATGTAGCCGTGGTAAACCAAAGAGAAAGTCGATCAATGAGGATAAGTCCTTTTCAAATGCGATAAATGTTGTTCCTACTCCCGGGTCATCTTTCGGTTTCGAAAAACAAAGCAAAAACAAGCGCTTTTAAAATACCGGGTTGCCAAACAAGGCATTATTCACAAGCAAACAAAATTCAATTCAATGACTTCTAGGCACTGCCGGCAGAGCTAAGGCACACTGAGGCACACTGAGAAAAAAGTTGGCGCAAAATAAGTGTGTAGAGTGACCACCTCTTGGCCACAAGGTAATTGGCACCGTTAAGTTGGTTCTGTTCACGTGTGAGTGACAACGTGTGTCTTTGCAGCAGACAGCAAATCCGGCGTTTGGAGGAAGTACGACAGACGATTAATCGGCCAAAAGGAACCGGTCAAAAGCATCCGGAAAGAAGCCTAAACCGTGAAGTAAGTGATGATGCATGCAGGAAACCACACGCATGAAGCTAACCGCACTGCGTTGCAGGGCTTCTTTTCTTCCACTGTAGCTTTGCCGTTCTCCTGGACGTCCACGGTGCTGGTCGAACGGATCGAGTACGTTGGTCACTGAAAGAATCAAGACGAATACGGTGCCGGAGCGGCCATTGGTTCACCGATCACAGACGAGGGAATAGTTGCACACATCTCGTCGGCAGTAGTGATTCGTCGAACACGGAGGAACAGGAGATCCGCTTCTCATAGCACATTGGCTGGAGCGGTCCGCCGATCACGGATAAAGGTTCGGCACGCCCAGGTCGCCCTCATGCAAGTGGAGCAGATGTCAAGGCTAAGTGGCCTCCAGTGATGATGCGACTTCATCGAGGCAATCTATCCCCAAGTGAGTCAACGTGGAGTAAGCAACGGCGACAGGCACCGGTATGCGTGAGTGCTCTAATGTTAAGGAATTGAAGATAGTTCTAAGCGCTTAGCAGTGCGCAGCCTAAAATTCGATGCCTAGTGCTTTATTTGGTTTTGGGAAGAGCTTACATTTACAAGGAAGCCGACAGGAACCTGATCTGGGTCTAGGTCAAGGCTAAAGCGAGTAGCAGCCCAGGATAGACATCTTTCACGTTGGCCCTATGCAGCACTAGATAGTGGATAGAATTTCGATCTATCAATCAATTCAATATATTGTATACCAACAATTGAAAAGGTACTATCAAATTTTATAAACAAAACGTTGATTATTCGATTTGCTCGCCAATCGAACGCAAATTACCAGCATCATCGGGTTAGGGAAACGTTCCCCGACCCAAAGATGATGTTAGTTTGAGTAGGCGAGCCTTGAATCACGAGAAAAGGGTTTCTGAAGTTTTGTTCGCGCTCTTTTCTGTTGTTGGTCGTGCTTTGCTCGATTGGTTCCGCTATTTCATAGCTCAATTCGTTCCCGAGATTCTATCCGCCAGACTATAAATATAGCGGTGTACAGGATACATGCGTGAATGAGTGAAGTTTAGCATATTTTTAAGATTCTCACTTGAATCATTTGATTAGGGAAATTTTCGAGATTTTAGACACATTATCGGTTGCTGTCGATTCTTGGTCATCGTGCATATTTAAGGGAAATAGCTAGTTGCTGCATTTTGTCTTTCTTGTTCTTCAGACATACTATGGAAAGGAACTCCGTTCGGCGAAATAGCGCAGAAACCTACAGATCAACCAGAAGCCGCAGAAAGGATGTGATATAATTATCAAATTTAAACGTAGCTGCGAATATGCTTTTCCTATTTACTTTTTATTATCTTTTAAATTTTCAGTAATATGATGTGTAATTTTTCCAGTAAAAAGATGCAATCGAATCAAAGAGAATTATTTTCTTTATCATTTAAAACAACAAGGTATGTTCACTAATGTTTTCTGTTTATATTTAGCTTTTTTCATTCAACATCATTTTGTTAATGCTACACATAACTGTTTCGATAACTTTTCTATGATCAAAATTTACCCCCCTTCCCGCAATGATGGTCGGGGGGTGTGTGTGTGCACATTGAAGTTACTATTCTTTACGTCGCTAAAATATAGATCTTGGTTGTTTTCTTTTTAAATATATGTTATGCAATACCAAACAAAAAAAGTTAGTCACTAAAATTTAAAACTTTAAAATGTAGCCAACACGCAAACAACGCTTTTCAATTGAATAGTGCCAATGGTCGCAATTTGAATGACATCAGACTTCAGCATGGGAGCTTTTTGGACCTGGGAAGATACATTTAAATGAGTTCATGCCGTGGACTATTTCCTACCGATGCAGCAACGAGAGTCGAGACGATTCAGGTTGCACATTCGCCCACAGGTGCCCTGTTTGCTAAAAAATAACCGGTCCTTATCAGCAGCAGCAGGGAAACAAGCTGTTTCTTATCGTCTCGTCCCGTCCCGAGATTATTGTGCAGGTACGTATTTATGATGACTTGAGTCATTTATACCAACCGATGGAACGGTTATTGTTTTTTCCCGTTCGTTGCGGCAGACACAACCATTATCACGTGTGCCTCTCACGATGGGATCGTGCGCGTGTTCCTATTTAGGTTTACAATAGAAATATGAGATCATATTGTGTTTAGGATTGGTGTACGATATTAATTTTACTGCTACAGTTGGCAATCCGGGCGATATAAGAAACAGTAGGCGTTGAGTTTCGAAAAGCAAATTCAGCTTACTTGGATGTTTATATGATAACGCAAAAAAGTGAAATCGTAAACCGGTGTGGTTGACCGGCGCATGATGGTGCTTTGTGTATCGATAAAGCACTTTCTGTTAGCTGCTAGGTTGTCGGCATTGCTTCCAGTCGTAGAAAAAACGTGCCACACTCGCGTGCAGACATGTATCAACAGCGCTGATGGTTTTGGTGGTGGACCGGTTGGTTTAGGGGTAATACAGCGGCATGTGACTCATGCCTGTATGTTGCTGAATTTAACTCTGAAGGCCTTTGAACGTCTCGGGCTGCTATTGGTATCGTATGGTAGTTTTTGCGAGGGTTGCTTTATGCTGTGTGTTGGCTTGCATGAGGCTAGTGCACTCTGTTGCTCTCATGGTGTGGTTTCAGTTGAATTTTTATACTGAAATTCTTAGACTAAGACAAAAATGATTCATACCGCTGGTATCGAGATTTTAAACTTGCGGTTTTCTAACTTTTAAAAGTAACTGAAAATGGGCAAAAATTAAAGCATTTTTTACTAGGTGTGAACCAGAAACCGTTGTGCAAATCCATCTGTGCCGATCATATTAATGACGCCTAAACGATATTATCTCATATGTGGCTTTCCTAGCTCATGGGAATAGAGACTGCTTCACAGTAAATCTGTACACTGTACCTTTTGGGACTATTTTTCAACCAAGAGAACTAGAGCATTTGGCCGAGAATTGCTTTCGTCGACAAATAACTTCTTTTTGATATATAAAGAGAGAGAGAGAAGGATTAGTAATTTCCATTTAATTCCTCTACCAGTCGAGTATTAGTACAAGACGCTGAAGAAGTCTGCACATTGTTGACGAAATACGCGTATCTGTCAAGGATAAGACATTAAGGTAGTGGAATTAAATGGAAATTACTAATCCTTCTCTCTCTTTCTTTATACAGGTATTCCACATTCATCAGGATACTTTTTTTTGTTTTTTTCTTCTCTAAGCCCTCATTTGACGAGAACCAGAACCTAACTGCGTAGAAATCATTTTGGTAAAATAAAATCTACGATGTATTCCGTGTATGACAGTTTTCTGTGATACAAACCTTATTCCTGAATAAAATCTCTAGTCGTCAGATACTTAAAAAAACAATGAATATGCAAAACAAAGATGATCGTTCAGACATCCGCATGATACGGACAGCAGATGGAGGCTATCAAACCGAACCCGAGGACACCCTTGACAAATAATTTCTAAAGCTACTTATCACAACATGTAATTTGTACTTCAGCAATTGATGATGATGACGTTAAAATGAGTGATGTCCTCACTTCCCCCTTTCTCGGAGTAATGAAACACTCTAGCTAGTTCTGGTTCACCACCGTCGGAGGACCAATATTAGTTCACTAAGGTAAGGTTTATTAAAAAAATTGCTTGGGGAAATAAAAAAAAATAGAGAAAATTCACATTCAGTTAAAGCGCAAAAACTTCTTAAAAGTACATTTACCAGGCTAATATAGAATTGTTTCCTCTTTTACTGGTTTTCCTTACAAACTAATATCACAGAGTACAGTCAATAAAATAGTTCTCACATGCGGCTCTGCCACCGCGGTTCGGTGACGGACGACAAAGATCTTACCGCCCTATCCTACTGAGTGTACTAGAATACTGTTGATGGTGACCAACGAATATCCACGCTAGGAGCGATTCGGTCTTCGGTGACCTTTCATCCTCCTAGGGTGAAGCTTTTCTGTGTATGTTTTTTTTTTGTTTGAATTTGCTATATTTTTTACCGCAGATTAATTTGTCTCAAATTTAACTGTCTCCTTCTCCAACCGTCCGAATCCGTTTAGCACAAGAAAAGCAACTCGTTAGCCACCAAAAACAGGGGCAATCTCACCAACTGGCGACTGCAGGCTGGGACGGAATTTAGCAATCTTTCAGGTGCATCATATCGAATATCTTTCACGCTTACGTCTAGTATGATTTTTTTTGTGTTTCATTTTTCATGTTTTATATTTGTTCTGTTTTATGCTAAGTTCCTGAAAAGCATCTAAATTTCGCTCCACTGCAGTCTAGCAAACGTCGTTTGTCTATTTAGTAATAGTCGTGTATGTATGTATGTATGTATCTCTGGCCTGGGTAGTTTTAACAGTCATAGTTTTTCATACCATCATCGTACGGATATTGCGTGCGAGCGTTTCTACCAGAGAGTCCGTTGAGTGTATGCTCGCATCATAGGTATGCCCTTAAATATCTAGAAAACCCTTTGTTTGCTGTTCCAGTTGGCTACACATTGCCGGCATCGCGCACTCACGGTTACGTCAATTCTCACTTCGCAGCTCTCACCTGCCTTCACGTAACGGTGCTGTGCTGTGTGGTGTGTTACAAAAAATTGTTCAAAATGTATTTTCGCTTTTTTTCAAGCTATTTTTTTTATCAATAACATATTTCATTTCATTTGGTCTTAGTACTATGTATTCTGTAGTAAAGGGGACAAACTTGTTAGTTAAGTTGATTATTACTGTTTAGCTTCACAATTTTTCAAGTATTTCAAGGTTTGTTGATGCAATTTAATGTTTCTAACACTGAAGATAATAATCGGGTCACTTACTAAACGAACGATCCTAGAAGAAAAACAAACCTTTCCTGATGTGACATGATGTAGCAAAAAAAGTCGTGAAATAAAAATTGTATGTCAAATTTCTACATGTAACGGAAAGCCCCTAAATAGTAACACAAAAAATATCCTGCCCCTTAATAAAAAAAAAGTGATCTAATAAACAAATTGCGTAAATAGTTGAAAATATAAATAAATCCGCCAGAACCCTACCAAAGCTGCTGGAAAGAGTTGCTGTTGCGTTACTGTTTTTTTTTTCTTTCTTTCCTTTTAGTAGCATTCATCGTCCTCCATTGCAAAGTCACTACTGAATCCAGAGTCAGCATAAACCGAGCTGCGGGAAAAATGAAGAAATAGACAAAGAAAAAAATATATATAAGAGGAGTGCATAATGTTGTGACTTTTCAGAGTAGGGACTACTATCTTCAAATTATCTAGTACATCAAACACAAAAAAAGGATATTAGGGGTCCTACGACCGCATTGTTGACTTGGAATTACGAGATGGATTGTGTTCGTTCATGGTGGGGGTTTAAAAATGCATTTTATTTTTCATAAATAGTTCAATGTAACAGCTATACATTAGTAGGTATTATTCTTATTGTAAGACAATTGTTCCAGTCTTCCTTCTTACCATAGGCCATTGATCGGACTTTTCTTCGTACACGGTCCATCATCTTATGTACGAGCACTCTTCCCAGTTGTTTGGCTGCCAAATTCTATTTCTGCTTGAAATATTTCAGTATTCCTCAAATGGCCGGATTAATCTCCTTGGGAACCACTGTGAGGCCATTTTCGCTGTACCACTGTTTGGTGGAATTTGAGTAGTGGCAGCTTGCCAAGTCCGGCCAGAATAGGCAATCTAGACCTCATGCTGTTCCAGAAAAAGCAGTAGTCTCTTCCGTATGCACTGGTAAATTGGCTGGTTCATGGTCCCAGAAGTAACGAAAGTTTTGCTATTCAGCCCACAACTGAAGATTGTTTGCCAGACAAGGAACTTTTTGGGGAATTTCGACTTCTTTTTGATTTTACATTCTTCCGGGGCACTCTTCCGGTCAACCAAGGTATACAAATTCCTGCCCAGGAATTTGATCCATAACTGCCAGGAGCGGATAGACCGGGATTTCCGTTTCGAGCGTGCAGCATCGAATCGCGACGTGCTTGCTCCCGTGAAGCCATGATGTAAACAAATGAACTTTTCCTGATAACCAGTGCCTACTGTGATTCTATACACTATTATATCCCGTACAGACTATGGCTTATATCATGTAATATAGGCTGTCTTGCAATGAGCACTCATACATAGGATTTCCAGTGAAAACTAGATGTATGAGTGCTCATTGCAAGACAGCCTATATTACATGATATCCCAAGCAACAATTTTTGTTTTATTTAAGTTTTATAGCAGTTGATATAACCAAATTATAAAACCTTCACTGACGACCACATTGCTTTAACAATCTCCTGAGAACCGCAATACAGTAATGTCATGGCCAATTGGCCCAGTTTTAATGCAGTCATTAAAACTTGATATGCGAACTACTTTAGGAGCATAGGATTTATGTCAGTTTTATCACACTCTAGACGTGATTGTTAAAAATGAAAACATAAAACCTCCTCCAGGTCAGAAAGTTTTAAGAGCCTTCTAATGACTACCATAAAACTATATTACAACCGCATAAATCGCTCCTGAAGAAGTTGATAAAACATGATACGCAAAACATTTTGACAACTTTGAAGGTTTTAAGTTGGGGTTTTTGGATGATAGTTAATATTGAGAAATATTTTATTGTTGTTTTATTCTTTCGATGTTTGATGTGAAATCATGATCCTTGTCAGTTGGTAATAATGGCTGATATTATTGTACATTGAAAATAAGACGACTTTATTATAATTTTAAACCAATCTGTATATGCTTCACAGCATGCCGTGCAATATTTATGGTGATTATTATACCAAATAGGAGCATAAATTTAGTGCGCCATATGAATACTAAAATATAGGGATATTTTTAATTTGTCTGCATTAGCACCATGCATTAAAGAGTCATTCAAAGATTATCTATTTAGTACAAAACTGCTACTACTGTTGAGCAATAACCAGTCACATATTATTTAATTATACATAGATGTATGAAAGTGTTTTATTGCCTATCAATTAAAGCGTAATTATTCATACTGTGTGAAATTTGTTCATACGGCGACATTTTTTTTAGTTATAACTTGCTACTCCTTAAAAATACCTCAATATAACATATTCTCCTAGATTGGAATTCTATAGCATAACATAAACCTAATGGTTGTATCTTAGCATTTCGTAGTCCAAATTGAGAGCGTTAAGTTATATTTAAGCTATATAACTAGCTTGCTGGTTTTATTCGGTACAGCGAATCAAAACAAAACAAAAACCATGACCACCTGTCAAAAAGTCAACATTCCAAGCGATCCTCCTATTTTCGCTTGTAATCAAGATGTAAGAAATGCTTATTGGATCCACTAAAAGCTTTTTCAATACAAGGTTTAAAGCCGTGATGTCAATACTGGCCATCTCCAAACGGATTTAGTGAAACCGTCGGCGTTGCTTTAAGAAGATGTGAAATCATTTCCTGGGTTCGTGGATCTTTCGGAAGTGTATCGGAAAGCCGCTTGTTCAATATTTTTAAGAGCTCCTTCACCGCACTGTGCCTTATGTAGGGATCGTATAACTGTAGTTCCTCCAGGAGTTTCATATTGTCGATCGTCTCATCTTCATCGTGTTCAGAAGCACTGAAGGGGTTTTCATTTCATATATCTCAATAGATTTGTTTTTTATAATGACAAAAAATTTCAGAGTATTTTTTGTTGTAGCAGTATATTTCTTATCTGTGAATCTTAGGCCTCTGATAAAGATGATAGTTGTAATGAAGCTTTAATGAAGGTCTAAGACTGCTTCAAGTTTTATATCGGTCATAAAAAGTGTACCATAAAACATAATTGTATGTTTTGTTTTGGTTTTATTCTTCAGTTATAAGTAGTGATGCAGAACCACCTTACAGCTACCGTTAAAACTATGAAGTCTGAGTTTTAATTTAGTAGCCATAAAACAGTTTTATAGACGACTTGACGGCCTGATTTAATGACAAGCACATAAAACCGTAATACAACCACAGGCTGGAAGGGATGCTATGATAAAACAATGATAAAATAAGAATAAATCTTCCAAGCATTTAGATTGTTACTTGGGATAAGCCATAGTCTGTACAGGGTATTAGCTTGATTCAGCGAAATTTTGAGAAAACATTTACTCGAAAAATGCCATGATGGCAGCGTTTTTGTTGTGTTTGGATTTTTTCGAGTTCAACCTTTATAGGGGAAATGGATGTAGTGTCGGCCTAAGTGCCCCTAATTTGGGCCCATACATAAATTCAGCAATCGACTAAATTTTCAATAGCGACCAATAATATCCATTAGTACCGTCCCAATAACGCGTTCATCTATTATTATTATTTATCTTTATTAGGGAGGCGTTCATCTAGATAAAATTGATAAATAGCAGATTTTTAGCGATGGGCCCAATCTTAGATCCATAGGCCAACATTAGAACCATTTCCCCTATATATTACGATGCCAGAAATTTTTTTATGGTTCTAACAATTCAAAGAATTTTCCACAGAATTCTCTCTGGAATGTTGGAATTTTGAGGAGAGTTAAAAAAGAATTGAAGTGTTTGGGAGGATTCGAAATTTTAAGGAGTTCAAGATAATTCTGGAATGGAAGTCATAAGGAGTTTTTGCATAAATCCAAATGGATTTCTGGGGAGAGGAAAAAAAGGTTCTAAATATAATTCCTAGGTTATTCTTAGAAGAACTCCACGGGAGTTGTGAGCAGAACATCAAGGAGAATTTCTAGCTGATCCTGAGAAGACTTGTATGGGTATCATGAGATGAATAGCTGGTGAGAGAATCACAAACCAAATTTAAAGAGCGTTCAGAAAATAATTTTAATGGAATACTGAGGAAGATTCATAAGAGAACTACAATGTAATTTCGAGAAAAATACCAAAGGATTCGAAATCTGAGCTAAAATCCAGAAAAAATCTAGGAAAATTTAAAATAAATTCTAAGGAATAATGAGAGAGAGAAGGATTAGTATTTTCCATTTAATTCCACTACTTTATTTGCGTATCTGTCAAGGATAAGCAAATAAAGTAGTGGAATTAAATGGAAAATACTAATCTTTCTCTCTCTCATTATACAGGTATTCCACTAAGACGCCCACATTCATCTTAGAATCCTGAATGTTTGAAGAAAATTTAGAAGTAGTATTTTTTGAGCAAATCTTGAGCAACTCAGTCCACATGACAAAAATGCGAAATATTTGTCACATATGTTTATTCGTAGAAAGTTCAAAACAATTTAGTAATCTGCTGATACCTTGTTGTAATTGTCTATTGTTCTGTCGTATCCGTTGATTACGTTGGTTAGACATATTTAAGGAACAAGTCGCTGGATTTTTTCCACACATCGCAGCATCATTTCTAATTCCGTTTTGCAAATTGAAAGTTGAAATTCAAATTGAATGTGAATATTCTTCCAAATACGTTATGGAGAATACATACACCTCAGGGCTGGTAGTGCTGATGCGATGTAATAGTAGTGACTTTAGTGACTAAAATTACGGAAATAGTGACCAAATAGTGACTTGTAAATAATTAATAAGTAACCATTTAACCATGGTAACTTAGAAATTGAAATACGGTTTGATATTGAAATAAACTTTTTTCTCACAACGGAATCTCCTGTGAAGTGATTTTGAAGTGATTTGAATAATTTACTTTTGCTTACGTTATACATGATACCTAGCAAATAGTAAATACCATTTTTTATTTGAGCTTGAATTTGATTTTGCGTTCGAAATCTTTAAAATTTTGATATATCTAGGTTGATAACTTTGATAATTCGCTAAGAACTTTTCACAGAATTTCTTCAGAATGTTCTCAAGAACTTTTTTAGAATAATTTTCCAAATATAAAATAATATTGCATTCTTGAAAATAATCAACAAAATTCGTGGAAATAGATTGTTTTCGTAATTGGAAATGCTTAACATCAAATATCAGAATTAAAGTGGATGATGAGGAGATGAAAGTAAAGAGTTGATAGTTCCGTTATAGTAAGACAGTGTGAAATTTGTATATTGAAAGTAGTAAGCGATAAAGGACAATTTTGAGGAAGGTACGAATCGAGTAGAGAATCTCCTTTAGCAAGCTCATCCGTTAATGAGGGATGGTGAGGGGTGTTTCCCCCTGTCACCACTGGCAAAAGGAATGATCACCGATTTGCTCATGTACCTCCGATG